AAGTTACCTTCCTCCCTTCAATGATAGGATTTAAAATCTAGAGCCCATATTCCTTCTTTAGCACCAATTATTAAAAAGAAAAAAATAGAACATTTCAGCTATTTTAGCCCTTCCTGAATTTCATCTACTTTCCATTTGCTCTTAAAACTCTCAAGACTCTAAGATGAAAACTTTTCCTTTAATTAACAAAGATGGTCGGAAATACTTCACACGCCCCATTGTCAAACCCATGGTTTCACTTGGAAAAATGAAAAAAAAAATGAGATTTGGAATCTCCCCAAGCCCCAATTAGGTCAAATGGAACTACATTTTAGAGAAAGAATGAGGAAAGCCTCCCCCACGGATCTGTATCTCTAAATAGATTGGGGATTTGCTAACGCTCTGGGTTAATCATGATGAGAAGGGAAATGGCTGGCTTTGCAGTCACTGAGTACACAAGCAGCAGGAAGAGTTTGGAAATGTGAACTTGATATGTCGTGTATATGTGGTAGAAGGGGCACGCTTGTACAAAGGAGCCCACATCTTCTTCTGAAAGTCTTTTCTGTGTGAAGTGGGAAATAATGTTGGACACATCCATGCGTGGAGACCCCCATGTGCAAGGGCACTCCCACTCGGCTCTGCCCTCACTCCCTCCCCACTCCATTTCCTGGGTCACCTAGGGGGAATCGGTTGGCCTCTCTTGCCATTAGATCCCTTATCTATCACTAAAGGATTGGGTAAATCTTTGAGGAGCTATAATTCTATGATGCTCAAAGAATCATCTTTTCATTATCCTCTATAGCTACGCCAAGGAGAGCCATGGAAAACATCACCATTGCCCACATTCACTGTAGATTTGCACTGCATGGTGGGCCATAATAAGGAATGCATTGTGTGAGAAATGATACAGGAAGGAAGTCCAAATCCTCTGAAGGGTACAATAGGTAGAGCCTACCTTCTAAATGGCTCACAGAAATGGGGAGCTTGATGACGAGAATCCTCAGAATTTCCCAAAGTGTTCTCCCTGGATGATGAATTCCAGAGGACCTAATGGTTATGATGGTATTGTGCTGCAAAGAACAGAAAACTCAATGACCTTCCTACTCCATGTATGATTCATGGACAAGCATCTGCATCACCAGGTAGGTGGGTAGGTGCCCAACCAAGACCTACTGAATCAGAATTTGCATTGTAACAAATCCCTGGGTGATTTGTACCCATATTAAAATCTGAGAAGTATTTCCTATATCCTGCACTGCCATAAACAGAAAATATTTCTTTGATTCGGTAAGAAGTCCAGGAGTAGGCAGCTCTGCCTTAGAGCAGTGTTTCAGGGATATAGTTGGAGACCCAGGCTTTTGCCATCTTTGGGCTCTACTCTCATCAATATATTAGGCTTAGCCTTCATTCCCTGGCCTGGGAAGCACAGAGTGGCTGCTCCCCCACTGACTTCTGGCCAAGAGGAAAAGGGGAGGGCAAAGGCAGCCAGCTAAGAATAAAGGTAAGGCCTCACTTGTTTTTCTGGAAGGACCCATCCCTCTAAGAGTTCTGTATCTTATTGGCCGTAACTATGGTACACGGCCACGGTTAGGCACGAGGCAGGCTTAACTAGAAAGTATTTAATGTTGTAACCTTTGCAGTGCAGGGGAAGTGGTCTCTGAGTTGTCTTGGGTGGCCAGTCCACTGCATTTGCCATATTTGTTAATACACGTTCATAGAGGGAAAAAAATAACCAACTCAGTTGGGGAAATGAATCTAAATAGGTTTCTTTTATACGGGACTTCTTAAAGCCGTTCATATGCCAAGGTGCATTTTAAATTTCCCAGAGGGGAATACAGTATGTAGTGTTTTCTACTTATCTGATCACAGAACTTTTCCTAGGAGTCGTTTTTCTGCCAACCACCTCCACTCCACCCAAATATCAAAACACTCACACACACATACACACACACACACACACACACACACACAAGGGAAAATGTAGATTGATATCATGTGATTATTTTAAAGCAGGGGTCATCAAACTTTCTGTGAAGGTCAGATAGTAAATATTTCTAGCTTTGTGAGACATATCTTTCCTGTCCAACTATATAACCTGCTACTAGAGCATAAAAGCCTTGGACAATGAATAAATGGATTTGGCCCTCCGTGGGCTGGATTTTGACAATGGGCTATAATTTGTTGACCTCTGTTTTAGAGTTAACTACAACAAATCAAGATTAAAAGCAATAGAGATAACAGCATCTACTAATAGGTTCTACAAAAGATTGTAAATGATTGTACAAAAGATTGTAATATAAATTTATATTTGTTGCTTTTTATATTTAATATAAATATATTTGTGTATAACAAGAAATACGTGTATGTATACACACATACTCACACAATACACACACACATAATTTCTCTGATCCTAACAAACCTGTGAAAGATATTATTACCATTGTGTAGTTTCCTGAAGAAAATTAGAGGGTCATGGTATCCATTTCCTTAAAAAATGGAAGCATTTGCCAGGGCTCTTGCTGTCATATTGAATTAATTGTATAACCACTACACTGTTTTGAATTTATACTTTTTCCCCTCTCAGTATGTTCAGAGAATTTGTTCAATTTAATCTTCAAATTTATTCTTTGAGGGAATCCAGAACCCATCCATTTATTCACATGGGCCTTTGAAAGCATTGCATGTCCTTTGGATTTACTATTGGATTTTTAAATTTCTAGACCATAAAATCCCTCTCCCCATCTCCTCTTCCAGCCATATTGGACATTTAAAGGCAGCTCAGTTCCACTGCTATTAGGCACTACTGTTCTGTGCGTGGAGACCCATCACTGCGATGTCTATGGTGTTCTAGCGCATTTGCTTATTTAAACGCTTCTGTGCATTCCCCTGAGAAACAGTAAGCCCCTTGAAGGGCCAGGCCTGTGTGTGTTCTTTTTGTCCCTGTGCCCTCAGTGCTGAGCAGAGACCATGGTCAGTGAATGCTGTTGAGTGAAGTGTGCCCTAAGAACAGCATGGACAGGGATGGGGAGGGGGGGAGCTGGTGAGGGTGACGTCATGGCTGCTGGGGTGCCCTGGGACTTTCAGAGCCGCGTCCCTGTCCCCTGCACTTACCAATGCCCTGTCTCCACCACTGCAGTTGTCCATCCATTCTGGCTCTGCTGGTATTTTCTGTCACGTCGTGACGATGAGAGCATCCCAAGGTGGCCACAACAATGTACCTGTGGATTGAGTTCAGGCCATTAAACTGCAATCATGCGACCTGTCTAATGTCATTATGGTCCAGTTCCAGCAAAGCAGAGAAATGGGGGGGGGGGGAATGACACAATTACTAAAGGACGTGTTCTCAGACTTAAATGAGCCTGAAGGAAGAAGTGTCTGTAATAGATGCAGTGTTTCCCCCCCCAACACACACATGAACATGCACACGCACACACACACCCACACGCACACAGCCGCCCCTTCAGAGGGGAAGTTTGTAAACCATAGGAGGAAGAAAATTGCTAAACTAAGGCTTCCACCTGCATGTGAGCCCAGTGCCGTCCCTCTGGAAACCTCAAAAAGTCCAGGTCCCAGGGACTTAGGAAGGAAACGTTGCAACTTCAAAAGGGGGAGTTTTGAAAAGCTGAGACTCTTAAATCATGCTGGGTATTTATCTGGTGACATATGTTGTTTCATATTTGACTTTGGGGTTAAAAAGGAGAGCGAACAAACAGCATTGCTGAACCACGAAACTGGGTGAAAGCACATGTGCAGTGGCATATAGTGGGCCCCGTATGATTTTGTATTGAGTACCCCGTGGCTTGGATGTGCCTAACAACAGAGTGACTCTTAGCGATGCTGTTAACGGTAGTTTTGATTTGGAATTTCTCCCCTGAAAAGGTGCTCTCGGGACTTTTCATATAGTTTCTGGCTTTAGCAGGTTTCCCGAGTAACACCTCGCAACATCACCTCGCGGGGCTCTCCTGTCTCTGTGTTTGTGTGCTTTCTTTGTGCTGTTGTCCTGTGTGGCTCATTTCTTAGGGACAGGTTTGAGCAAAATGTCCTCTTCTCTTGGCTTCTCCCACTTTTCGTATCAGTCTCTCTCGTCACCTGGTCTTGCAGATAGGCCTGGGAACTTTGGGCGTTCTTGTGTCTTAATATCGTTTAAAAAATGCCTCCCACCTCCTCTCTAATTAGCTGTAATCAGGAAGGCTAGTTGGTGGACACATGGTGTCGCCGCTCTGTGAAATGCTGCCTGATGGCTATAAACACGGCCATATGTTCTCGGTGAAAGATGGCTGTAATCACCAGCAACAGCTGATGGAAGATGAAGGCTCGGCTCTTCACTTCCTCCTGCTTTATTCCCCAAACCTGTGAGGCGCTTCGCAGAGCAGCTTAATATTTTCTCTTCGCCTTCCCTGCTTCTGCTAAATTTCCTTTGTATTTTAGCTTCAGTTCTTCCCAGCATATATTTGAGCCTGAAATTGCAGTTATCAAAGGAATATGTTTAGCACCTTCCGGTTTAACATCACAACACTTTAATTAGGATGGCCTCTCTTTAAATCCTGCACTACACACATTACATAGGTTTCTAAAAACTAAGTGGTTATCAAGAAAGAGGATAAAACCGTCAAAATTTTCACAGTGAATGAACAAGAATTTCTCAGCAAAGTTCAATAGATTTGCCCTGAACTGGTGCAGCTTATAAAACCCTTGAGCCTAATTGCTTTCCTGCATTTTGGCAAGAAAAATAGCTGACTTGCAATGGAGTAGAAAGAGAGGTTTGGAAGAAAGTGTCTTTTAAGAAAAGCTTCCAATGAAAATTTCAATCAATATTTTTAATCCCAGAAGACTAGATAAAATATGATATTATGTTCCAGGCACTAAGAGATGGTGGATAGGGTTGTTTTTCAGCTTCGGGAGGAGAGCCGTTGGAGGAACAAAGCTGCTGCGCTATCCAGTCCCACTGCAATGTGGACAGCAAGCTGCGTGCCTGCGTTTCCACGATGCCCCGGTGTCTGAGGTCTAAGACGGTAGCCCTTCAGATGCCACATCCTCACGGGACCAGGGTGGATTCCGGTTTCGGGGCTGGCTGCGAGGCACAGATGTCTGGCTTCCGCGTGAAAGAGGGTGAGAGGAGCTGGGTATGAGCCGCGTAATGTACTTGGCGTCTCTCCACTTAGCATCACTGGGCTGCGTATTAAAGTAACCAGACAAAATTGAGTGCAGAGGAGAGACACCAATTGCTTTTAAGCCTTCACTTTCCCATTTAGAAATGTCTTAGATTACGAAGTTTGATAGCAAGTTTTCTACCTTTAAGATTTCATATGTACATATATAGATTATCAAAAGCTCATTTTATTGCCTCTTTAATGCTTTCAGGGCTTTGTTAAAACAGGGCTCTCACCCTTTACCCTTTTTTTGTCTTTTTTTTTTTTTTTTTACCTTGGATGTACTGTGCAGGCTATTAAACTGTATGCAGGTGATTGATCTCTTTAATAAAAGCAAGTTCTTTAGTAAGCAAAGAGTGATAAAGATAAACAAATGTACTGGTCTGTCCAGTGCTTTGGAGATTATGGTAACACGAGGGCATCAAGAAAGCCTATTAACAGATAAGTTAGATGAAACACATCAATTCTGATCTCAGGAAGTCGGGAAACCATTCCCTTTAAGTTAATTTTATCCATGTTTTCTCTTCATTTGTAATACTTTGTGGGTTTTAACAGGAAATATTTAATAGTGTGCGGTGCAGTCCATAGATAAACGATGTTGGCAATTTCTCCACTTAACTGCTTGTCAGGCCCTTTAGCGAGGTACACAACGCCTGCAGTTTATCATCTTGTTTTCTAGATTGTTTTGGAAGATCATTGAGAGGGCTGAGACTCCCCAGAGTCCTGTGCTCTAATCCTGTCATATTTTTTTAAAATGCTGGAAGGTATAAGGTTACATGGTAAGATGGTGTTACATAGGCATTTCTTCAGCTCGTCACCATGGCACGTTCTTTCCATGGTAACCACTGTTTCCATGGCACGTTCTGTAAGCTCCTCCGGCGTGGCTGAGGGGTTTGTGAAGACGCTCACCCACCCACAAGTGTGCACACACACACTTGCCTTCTTTCTCTCTCACGGGCACGGATTCAGCCCACCATGTATGTGACTCGAGGCACGTTTTCTAACGGATTCACTAAATGGAGCGAAGCTCGTGTTAAAATAAAATCTGCTCTGCTCTCTATTATGTGATGAGACGAATAGCTACTGATGTGGCCTTTTCAGACTATGTGAAAATATAACAAAAGCCTGGCGTTGTCCTCAATGAAATGGAGTAACAGGATAAAATCTTGGAGGCAAAATCTGACAGAAAAGACAGTCAGCCCTGGACCCGATTTTCTAAATTTATCTCCATTTTTTAGACCCTGAGCTAAGTCTCTACTCAGCATCATGTTAGATGCTGTGGAGCATAAAAGAAATTTATGTCCGCGGGGACCTTGCATTTTCTGCAGGCTTGGGGGGAATGAGATTTAGACACATGTAATAATTAGAAAACAATATAACCCTGTAAATAATGACAGTAAATTTTTCACGTGGGATAACTTCAACATTTTTAGGTTTGGGGGCAAACAACACAGCTGTTATTTATTTAAAAAAAAAAAAACCCCATCCCTTTTATTCTTAGGACTGGAGAAACCAAAACATTTTAGGAAAATGTACTGGCTGAGGTAGATGTAATGGTAAATGACTTTTTTAGGTGCTGATTAATTTTCAAAGCTAAACAACAGTCCCTTGTCACTGATTCCGTAATTGGTATCTTATCCTTTCTCAGTAGAGGTGGTTGCTTCTGAAATTAGCTTCCAAATGCTGGAAGTCAGATGTGTTCTCATCTGGTCCATGCAAATCCAGTTAAGCCAAATCCTCATCCTAATGGCTATTCTCATAGTCTCCTTTCACTTTGATAGAGCAGAAAGGCGCTTTGGGGCTAAACCATTGCATTGGAATTCTGGATCTTTCACTTGTTGGCTTGTGGCCTTGGCCAAATTAACTGACCTTTCTGAGCCAGAGCAGCAAAATGTTATTGATATGGGAGTGGGTCATGGATGTTCCTCTTACAGCAAGTGTGAGGATTAAATGAGATATTGATACACTCAATAAATGGTGGTTTACTTGTTCACTCTGTTCAACTAATATGCATTAATGTTCCACGGTGTTGCAGGCGTTGTGTTGATGTTGCGGCTACAGCGGGATTGATTTCTGGCCTTCGGGGATCTCACACACAGAGACTGAAGCAGGAAAATATGACGACACGTGATCCACTGGAATGGAGGCTCCGTGAATTCATGCTGGTGCTTTTCTTTGGTTCTGCTCACTGCTGTATCACACGCCCTTGGAACAACGCCTGCACACAGTAGGTACGTGACAAATATTTCTTAGAAGGTTAAAGGCAATAAGAGAAAAATAGAAAGGTGACCAAAACGTGGGGTATAAAGGAAAGGTAAGCAGAGGAAGTGATCTATAACAACACCCTAAAGCATAAGCAAGTTAGCCTGGAAAGGCAGGGAGGCTTGATTTCGTGAGTATGAGAGAGTTACTTTTCACTTGCTTTGTATCTGGGGTCTGGACTTTTTCCGTGATGTCTCTATGGCTTAATTCTTTCCTATTCATTTGTGTTTCTGACAAATCGATGTGCAATAAGTATGGAGGTTTTTTTGGCATTTACAGTATCCCAGCTGGAGTTCCTAACTGAGGCTAATACTAACTTCTGACTATTTAGGTCTCCTGAGATTGCTGCAGCCAGGTCCTGCTTGCTTACTTGAAGGTGTCACTGGTGTACGCACTTGTGTAGTCATTTGGTAGATGTGTATTTATTCAGCACCCGTCATATGCAAGATAGTAGCTCTGTAAAAGGTGGGAACAAAGGCTGATCAGCAAGCATTGGATCTATCCTCCAGCAATGGACAGTTCCCCAAATTAGGGAGTTTGTGGAGGGAACTGATGATGGAAAGAGCATAGGATCTCTAAGAGCTGTGGGCTGTGCCCAGTCCTTCAGCAAGTGATTTGGGAGTAAAAAGCACAGAAATTAGCAGATCGTACATCCAGATCTTTCTCTCCTACAGCTGAATCAAATTATCTGTTAAAGTGAGCCTTGCTTGAGTATGGTTCTTAGAAACTGTTCTTGGTAAAGAAAAGTATAGGTAGTCATACCCAATTCATTATTTTTTTCAAGGAACATTTATTTCCCAAATGTGTCTAACACTTTCCATAAAGAGTTTTCATTTTTCTCAGCAAGAAAAATAAGATAACTGTGTGAAGCGACTACGGAAGAACTGGGAGCCCCCTTGGAGATTCAGAATAAAGGCAATAAAAATTGTGGGTTGAAATGAAACTAAGATAATGTTATAAAAGCGCTATGTCTCTAACTGTACCTCAAAACAACAGCATCAACCAACAATAACAGGGAAGAATTTGGGTGGGTAGAGAGGAAGAGGAAAGGTGTGATGGAGAACCTTCAAAGGATGAAGCTAGAAATGAGTCTGATATATTATGTTAAGTGAAAGAAACCGAACACAAAAGACCAAGTATCTTATAATTCCACTTATATAAAATGTCTGGAGAGGGCAAAACTATGGAGATGGGAGGGGGGCTGCAGATAAGAATGGGATTAACTATAAATGAGCATAAAGGATCTTCTTGGGGTGATAGAAATAGTCTAAGACTAGATTATAGTGATGGTTGTATGACTTGGTAAGCTTACAAAAAAATTAATGAATTATGAGCTTGACGTAGGTGAATTTTATATTATGTAAATTATGCCCTAAAAGTATTTTTTTAAAATGTAGCTGGAAGAAATGAGTGTAGTATGAATAACGGATGGTAAAGAAATTGTTTTGATTGTAGTAGCGGGGTCAGAGTCTCAGAGCAGAGAAATAAATTGACCAAAGTCACAGAGCTGGTAAGAGGTAGATGTTGGAAAGAGGTAGAACTATCTGGCTCCATGATGAGATCTATTGGATAAGTAAAAGTGGTGCCAATTGAGGGACAATGTTGGATTAATTGGGAGAAGATGAATGGGTTTTATGTGAAAAGCTATCTGGAATACTTTTTACTCCAGTAGAAAACAGACATGCCCAAAGTGGCATTTTAGGTAGCGTAATTTAGGGACAGAATTCATAGATGGAATATATTTCACTGAGCATAGTTATACAGGTGAGGCGAACCTGGGTAAAAGCTACAGGAAAGAAAAGGAGGGGTACATTTTGATGGAAGAAGAGTCGGATTACGGTGACCGATCCCATAGGATTAATTGTACATGAAAGTGCTCTGTAAACAAGTATTTAAAAATGTAAGTAATGAATCTTCGCTATCGGGCATACTGCATAGCAGTAATCAAACAAGCAGAGAAACTCAAGATGTTGGAGAGAAAAGTGATAAGTATGGGAATAATATCCTTGGGGGCATTATTGGTAGAGAGGGAGGTGTTCTTCAAAGAAGAAATTAAAGCAGCATGTCGTGCACACGTAACACTGTGTGGGTCCAGCCCTGTGCTGGACACTGGAGATGTTTCTTAGAGGTTTTGGTTGCATGTGACAGAAACCCAATTCAAGCTAACAGAAGAAAAATAGGCCATATATCCTCACAATATTAGAAAGTCCAGGAATTGGGTGCTTAAGCAGGGTGAGAATTCTGCCTATTTAAATCTTTTAGCTCTACTTTCCTCTGTTTTAACGCCATTCTTAGGCTGGCTCTCCTCTTTCTATGGCAAAAATAACCACTAACAACTTGCATGTTCCTGGTAGTTAGCAGTCCCAGAAATTAAGAGAAGTTTCCATGCCCATCATTATCAGATGAGCTGCCAGTGGACTCTGACATGAGCCAACTCCTATGGTTAAAGGTTTTGTCTCACTTCTTGGCCAGGCCAGAGCCTTTTGTCCCATCCAACGGGACAGTCAGCTTCATTCAAGCCAAAAGGAAAATGTGGTTTTACACTGAAGACAGAAAAAGGACCACACGAAACCTCTCAGATGTGTCCACTACAAGATGTTATGTTGGAATCTCATAAACTTTCTCCAAGAGGCTTTGTTCTTTCCATCTTAAAGATGTGGAGACCCAGACCCTGGAAAAGCTAAGAAATTTGCTTAAGGGTGTATAGCTACAAATAAAATTGTAAAGCTGAGATTTGAATTCAGGTCCCTTTGTTCCAAAGCTTCGCCCTTTTGAAGAGAATAGTTGATGTAGAGCAGATAGATTTGGAAATGGAAAGGGGAGAGCACATGAATATCTCTCCTTTGGGATATTAAACACAGATACAAATCAACTTGAATCAGTAGGCAGTGTTGAGGCAGGGAGAGGTATGAAAACCTGGGGGGTGGGGAGAGAGCGGGATTAGTTTAGCTGTCCGCGGTTAGAGGAGAAGGTTTGGGGTACCACTTCAGGTTATGAACCAGGATTTCAGCGACAGGTGGTAATAGACTTGCCTGCCAAGTAATGGAAAGCCAAACTGTAGTTGGAGCTGGTGATTCGAGTTATGGGGTTATTTCAGGAAACATTCTCTAAAAGTAGAAACAGTGGGCATTTTAAATGACCAAGTCATGGTACTTTCTCACAAGGAAAGTGCCATGGGCTTGGCTCTGTGGTAGACTCTGATCCTCAAGCATGAAAAGGCTGACCACAGTTTGGTCAGTCTGGTTACTGCTGTGGGAGGCATCAGGGCGTTGTTTTGATGGCAGGCCTTATGCAGCCTGGCTGCTGAGAGGTGCTAGAGAGGGTGTAATGGAAGAGGCTAAATGGAAGGTGGCAGCTACGAGCAAGAACGTTTGAATACTATGAGGAAGTGATTGGAGTTCAGAGAGCTGCTGAGGAAGGAGAGTGGTAATCAGGAAATGGAAGCAAAGTCAAGACAACTCGTACTCATCTGATTGAGTAAAGATAAAACATGGTGAGAGACATCAGATAATCTGACACAAGCCAAGTCTTTTTCCAGGTAAAGACATAGAAAATCTTCTGACGCGTAGAGCTGTGTTTTGACTGCCTGATGATTTAGACAATTACAAAGAACACGGACTTTGGAGTCACCTAGAACTTAGTCTGAATGCTGCTCTGTTATCTGCTACTTGTATAATCATTGGCAAGATATTGATCTGAGTGTGAGTTTCCTTATCTATAAAATGGAGGTAAGTATATATGTATATAAATGAGAAAGAGAGAGAGTAAGAGAGAGAGACTGAGCGTGCCTACCATTCACAGATAGGGAATAAATAGTAGCTCGTCATAAAGATGCAAGTTTTAGGATGTTTTGCCCTTAAAAAACTTTCTTTTACTCTGGGCTAAGTAAAGAATAAAACCCTGAGTTCTGACTTGGCCTGAGAAGTCAAAAGTGGGCCATCCTCAAACCAGATTAACTAGCCTAAGCTATTTTATCCCTTCTTCGAATAACCTAAGTTTTGTTTAACATATTTTAAAAATCATCCGAGTCTCTTTAAGGTGTGGAATGCCATATCACATGTGCCGGTATTGAGAGGATCTGTTGCATAGTTTATGTTGGGTTGTCTTGCATTGCCTATGTCTCCATCTGTGGGTCCACCTTGGCTCTGCTTAGGGGAATGCCTACTATTTTATATCCAGCGGACTGATTGTGTCCCACAAGTATCCAACCATCCTTTTATCCTCCTTAACCTTACGAATATTTGATTCCCATGCTTAAGAAGCATGAGCCATGTCTTCTTGTTAAAAATCTTCTGGTACTTGGGGCGCCTGCGGGGGCACAGTTGGTTGAACATCCGACTCTTGATTTTGGCTTGGGTCATGATCTGAGGGCTGTGGGACTGAGCCCCAGGTTGGGCTCTGCGCTCAATGGGAAGTCTGCTTCTCTCTCTCTCTTTCCCTCTGCTCCTCCTCCCCTCCACCCCATTTACATACACTAGCTTGCTCTTTAAAATAAATAAATAAATCTTTTAAAAAAATCTTTGGCATATTACATCCAGTCTATATTTGCACAGTGTGACTGATGTGGATGCAAGAACAGCAATCATTGAGATTCACTTATCGATTGTTCATTCATTCATTCAACAGAATTTTATTTGAACCTTCATATATACAAAGCAGGACTAGGTGCTGTAAGAAATACACATGAGAAGAATATATGTTCCAAGGCCTTAAGGACCTGACAGTCTAGCTTACTGCCTGTGAGATATTAGGTCTTGTACAACAACAGGGAGAATATATCTCCCTTCACACTGGGCTCTGCAGTGTATGTGGAACAATCTAAATAGTTCTTTTCTTAATCAGCTTGAAAGGAAAAAAAAGTCAACGGGGCCTTTCCCTTCTTTGATATTTGAGATATTCTTGGAATGGTATTTCATTGCCCTTTGGTAGAATAGCTCACAAAAGCCAAATAATACTTTGTGTAAACTACAGACTCCCCTGAAAGAGTGTGTTTGAAATTTTTGACTCAACTAACTTTCTGTCAAGTTAAACACCCAATATCAGGAAGGAATTTGAGCATTTGTAGAAAATTCCAACAAATTAAGGAAGAATTAAAGAAAATTCATTATGGTCAACAAGCTTGCTGAAGCTTTGTTTTATTAAATGTATCCTGCAAACTGATTTTTGTCCAGTTTTATTAAGATATAATTAGCATGCAACACTGTATAAGTTCAAGGTGTGCAGCATAATGAAAACATACATCTGTATTGTGAAATGATTATCACAGTAAGTTTAGCTAACATCTATCACCTCCTAGAGTTATAAATCTTTTTCCCTTGTGATGAGAACTTTTAGCATTTTACTCTCTTAGTAACTTTCAAATATCCCTTACAACACTGTTAACTAGTTATCATGTTGAACATTAACATCCCTAATCCTTATTTATCTTATAACTGGAAATTTGTACCTTGTGACCACTTTCACCCTATTCCCCCCACCTCTCACCCCTTGCTCTGGCAATCACAAATCTGATCTTTTTTCCTATGAGTTTGTGATTTTACATGTAAGTGAGATCATACAGTATTTGTCTTTTTCTGTCTGACTTATTTTACTTAGCCTAATGCCCTTAAGATCCATCCATGTTGCTGCAAATGTCAGGACATCCTTCTTTTTCATGACTAAATAGTATTCCACATACATATGATTATATTCATTTTCTTTATACATCCATCTGTCATTAAACACTTAGGTTGTTTCCATGTCTTGGCTGTTGTGAATAATGCTGCTGTGAACATGAGAGTACAGATATCTCTTTGACAGCAATTTTGTTTCTTTCAAATATATACTCAGCAATGGAATTGTTGGATCATATAGTAGTTCTGTTTTTAATTTTTTGAGGAAACTGCATACTGTTTTCTATGATAGTTGTACTGATTAACACTCCTACCACTAGTGTACAAGGTTTCCCTTTTCTGCACATTTTCACCAGTATTTTTTCTCTTGTCTTTTTGATGCTAGATATTCCAACAGGCCTGAGGCAATATCTCATTGTAGTTTTGATTTGCATTTCTCTATTGGTTAGTGTTGCTGTGTGCTTTTTCATGTACCTGTTAGTCATTTGAATATCTTCTTTCAGAAAATTGTCTATTAAGGTCCTTTTTCCATTTTTAAATTGGGTTAGTTTTTTTGGTATTGTTTTTCATGTCTTGGTTTTTTTCTATTGAGTTTTATGAATCTGTTATGTATGTGAACATAGAAACTGATTTTTAAATTATTGTTGATTTGGATTACATGGCTCTCACCCCAGTTTTGCATTTTTGGGCTACCTGTATACTATGGAGGCATACTGGGTGTAGGCCTCTTTAATAAGTTCTCTCAAATCAGCTTAAAGGGTTTATTTAAAACACAGTGTTCAAGGGCACTAAGTACTGTCCCTCATATTCAGTGGAGGAAGCTGAGGCATGGAATGGTCCAGAAACCACATCGGAACAGTATAAATAGTAGCGATATTTGGACTTAAAATCTGGTCTTAACTTATTTTTATAGGACATTCTTGGATCATTTGTCTTTAATTTCCTAACAACTTATAGTTTACTTGGCAAACCCATGCCCTTTCCAGTACTGAATAGAATACCATTTTTCCTATTCTCCTACTTGCCACATGGCTCTTCAAATATACATGAATTTTGGAAAGTATTTCTAAAAGGTTAGCTTTTAAGTTTCACCAAATTTTCACCAGCTCCCTTTAGCCCTTCCTGATGAATCAGAATATTATAAAGATTTAGAGCAGGAGTAAAAAAAGAACTGGGTTTTTGTTCTAGTTCTACCATTTACTCATAACCAGAGCAAGTTATTTAATATTATGGTAGATTGCATTGGTGCTCTGCAAAACTTCCCTCTCTTCCACTTTTTCCATGGTATCTGTGTTTTTCCATGTCAGTTTGGGCTGTGTCATTTACTTTGTTCAGATATGGCATCAAGAAGAAGCTTTGATTGAATGTTATCAACACAGAGTATCATAAATGTGCTTAATGCTTTGGTTTGCTCTCTGGCACTTCTGCCATCAGCCATGGGAAGTGCCTGCTCTGAGTAGCTCTTGGTCCTAGAAGAAAGAAGACTTGAGCAGATTTAAACCTGAACTGCTGCTTGTAGCCTGGGGCCTAGTTTGCTAATCCCAGTTTAGCCCACAGAGCCATCCTAGCTAACCTCTAAGCTTATAGGTAAGAAAACTAAATGTTTGTTTTTGTAAGTCATGGACATTTTTGGGTTGTTTGTTATGCATCATTATCATAGTAATAGCTGACTAACAGAATTTCTCTGTATCTCAAATTCCTGATCTATAGTGTGGTGTTATATTATACTTAATTCCTCAGTGTTTGAAGATTCATTGAAATGATGTATACATAACATGTTGAGAACATTGTCACATTGTAGAAATACCTTCCATTGTTATACATTATCTAGTGAACTATGCTTACCCCCAAGTAAGTACATCAATAAATATATGTTAGTATGCTTATATCACTTGGTACAACAGAGTAACACCTGCCAATAAAGGAGTCCAAGCTAACACTATGAGAGTGCTGAACTCATCAGCCTTAGTTACACCTCTCTCCCAACTCCCTAAATCCTTGCTTACATAATGGGCAACATGAGCCCCCTGATGGGTAGTGGGTCTCTTCATTCTACAAAATACCTTAGTACTTGTGCCTATGTCTGCTACCTCCAGAGCAGATTAAGAATGTCTTGGAGGCTGAAGCAGGCACCCTTGAGGCCCATGTCTGAGTCGCATACTCACTGAAAGCTTTCTATCTCAGACACTTGTATATCCCAACTTCTCAGCCTGACTTCCTCTGGTGTCATGGCACTTAGGTAGCTGGGTAGCCAAGAAGTGCCTCTGGGGCAGCCTTTAAGCCGTGACAGACGGCAGTTGGCTGATTCATTCTCTAGTGTTCCTGTTCTTGAGAGACATTTTGAGTAATATTTTACTAGATTCCAGCAGAACTGAGCCCCACTTGCCAAAATGGTAACCTGTTCACTGGCATACCTTTTAGTGGGTTCTTTTTTTACCCCTTTCCTGTCTCACTGCCCTCCTCTGTCACTTGTACTTCCATGGATCATGCCCCCAAAAAACTGCCTGAACTCAAGTCTCTTTCTCAGAATGTGCTTTTATGGGTAACCCATTCAGACAGTGAATTAACCCATCTTTCCTCCTTTTATTTATCCTGTCTGTTCGTGGGCCAGAAGGACTATGGCAGACATCTACACTTATGTTGATAAATTTGTAATCAATTTTAAGTATCTTCTCCTTAATTCTGCAGCTAATGGAAACCGGTGTTTTTATATGGGTAGGGTTGTTACCTCAGTGGAAGAAAGCTGCTTCACCCAAGGTTATGTGCCTTTCCCTGGGGCAGTCCACATCAAATAACTGATTGATGCAGGGGTACAAAGCTTGTCCCCCGCTTGTCTCAATTTGATACACTTCTGAAGGCGATTCCTATCTTCCCAGCCATCCATAGAGCTGGGATGGCTAGGGCCTGTTAAAATTGCATTACAACTCAGCTTCTCATTCTGCCCATTCCTGCTTCTGTTTCTTTACTGTAGCTGTCATTCCCAAGAGCACTTTCCAGTAAACCTCCTGCTTGCAAATCACTGTTTCAGTGTTCCCTTGGTGCCAGGAGTGGTCCTTGGAAGTAGACTTTAAAATGGGTTATTG